TAACAAGAAAGTGCTGAGTTTGGATAAATCCACCACATGCACATGCCTATATTATTCTGTTTTTAATCTGCAGCCTCAGAGAACAGAGGGAACAGAACGAAAGGCAGCACCAAGGCAACAAACCAGCACTTCAGAGATCTGTTTTCCTTCTAGACCTTTTTCTTCCGGGCCAAATCTCAATCTCAGACATGCAATAGAGAGAAGCACAATTCACTGATAAGGGCAGTTTGCTTGATGGATTCTTAGGGCAGTGATCTTCTTGGAGAGTGCATAAGTAATCCAGAGGCCTTTCCCATTACAAATTTAGAGATGTTTATTTCTCTTCAAATCTGATCATAATGATCTCTGTTTTGGCTGTGGGGATGGACTGATGCAGGATCACTGCATCAAAAGGCAATAAAACCACATTTAGTTGAGATAACTGGGTGGGTCACGTGCTAGAAGACGTGTCTGAAATTGGAGCATGGACACCTCAGTTTAAGGAGACTAGAACKGCAGAGTTGCCTCCTGCTCTGGACACAGAAGCGCCCTGCTCACCAACCTCACCTGCTGGCATCGCTGCCTTCTCTCATGAGGTAAAACTGGTGCAAGCGGCACCGGGAGGCCCAGTGCCGAGCCCCTGGCTCCTAACAGATTTGCAGGTGCCTCCTGGCACCTCGCAGCTCCCTCCTGCTCAACCTGGCACCTTCGACACCAGATTTCTCCGGCAAGGTAGCTCTGCTGTGTTCCCCTGGGCTGTCAGAGGTGAGTGCCAGCGTGCCCCAGATTTCCTCCCCCCAGAAAGCGTTTTTTTCACCTCCTCAGCTACTTTCTTTTCATGGAGCTCTCCACACATCACCGGTTTCCCGGCGCAGCTGCTGCCTTGCACCTCACAGCAGCAGCGAGACGAAATCCCCGTTAGACCAGGAAGCAAGGCTGCCTCTGGTGAGAACCAGGCCCTTCCTCCCTCAGGGCCCCGCCGGCTGCGGGCGAGGAAGCCGCGGCCGCCGCCTCCGCTCAGATGGCGGCCGCCGGCTCTTAAAGCGCCAGGCGGCGGGGCAGGGTTAAGAGCCGAGCCCGCGCGGGCGGCGGGCTCCCGCACCGGGCGGGCGAAGCCGGGGGTAAGCCCGGGCGAGGCGAGCGGAGGCGCCGCCCGCGCCTTGAGGAAGCGCCGCTGCTTTGAGAGCCCCGGCGGCGCCCCCTGGCGCGCGGGCCGGCCGGGCCTCCCCGCGCGCGGCCTCCCCTGCGCTGCGGCGGCGCCGCGACCGCGAGCCGGCGGGCGGAGCCGGGGTCACGGCGCGGCGAGGAGCCCGCGGGGTAGGGGGGGGGTCAGACCTCCGCAAGCCTTTAAAAGCCGCTGGGGCCGAGGCCGGGGGTTGAGCGAGTGCGTCCACGCTGCTTCCGTGCAGGCCGAGAGGGCTGTGCCTGGACTGAACTTGGCTGTTTAAAAAAAGAAATAAAATGAAAAATCAGGCCGAACCACCCAGGGTTGCGCTGTTCCCCACCAGGAAACCCGCAGACCGCTGGCAGGACCGCAGAAACACCTCCATTTTAAGCACCTGTTAGTTTCAAAAACCAAATGGAGGCAGGAAAGGGCCGCTCGCTTTGCCGTCTCCACTGCKATTGCTAAGGAGAGCGTGCAGGTCACTGCTCTGGTACCTGAGCGCAGGGCTGGGGGGAAATTCTGCCTTCCCGCAGCCCACGCTGGGCTGCCAAACGCACTYAGAGCATCCAGGGCCGTGTGCAGCACCCAGCCATCGCAGTCTCCCTCAGCAGGGCTCTRAGGCAACATATGTCTGTGATTCACCCTGGCGCTTCCTAAGTCATTAGCCAAGGGGTATTTTTTACTTTTTTAAGCCCAGTGGCAGCATCTAAACAATAAAGAAGCAACAAGAAAAAACAAACTGCATCAATACTCCCAACTGGTCTCCCTGTCCTTGCAGGCCAGACCACTTGTCTGAGCCAGGACCCAGCATATTATCACTTAGAAAGTTCGATTGCTAAGTCTAGTCTGATGGCCGGCTGGATAATTCGTGTCTTGGCTTGGAGAGAAATGATGGAAGTCAATTTGACAGCTGCAAGGCTCCCCAAGGATTGCAGACCCGAAGTGCATAGAGCAGTGACAGACATGGCAGTGCACTGAATACCAATGAAGCTCTCTGCATGGGAATAGTGTCGAGGCAATACAAATTGCACGTGTTCAGCTGGAAGGTTATCACTATCATTATGCTTATTACTTCTATTATTAAGACATAAAAGAAGCGCAGAGCTCCTCTTGGTCTCAGAGCATAGAAGAGTTCCCAGTTCTGACCCACACTGCCCTCAATTAAGTGAAGCTACAGAGGGTTAAAAAGATCCTGCACCAGAAAAGCTGAAAGGATTGCCTCTCGTGGGAGCAGGAATAGGGGGAAAGGAACTGAGGCCCAAATGGGACCAAGCTGCCCTGTGTCTTCTTGGAAGTCTTGGGCAGGACTAACTGCTAGACTAGTTTGACCAAATATAATTCAATTGGAAGTTAAAAAAAGCATTAAAAAAAAAAACTCAAAATGACTTTAACATTCATATTCAAAAATATTCTTTTGCCATTGGCGAGAAGGGAAGTCAATATACTCAAGTGTCCTTACATAACAAATTCCTCCTGAAAAATACATTTRCAAGGGAAACTAAGCTCAGTGTCATAAGCCGTATAGTAAGAGCACAATTGTTTGACTAAAACTATGGTAACTACAGATTCTAATATGCAACCCTGCTTTATTAAATCAAACCTCTAGTGAATCTGTTATCACCATAGTAACACTGTAATATTACACGGAAACATGAACTACAGTTTGATATTAACATCTGGTTAGCATCTGCATAGCTTCTTATTCACATTACTACAACTGTAACCTAAGAAGAACAAAGCTTAAGCAAAACTTTAAGGCAAAACTCTAGTCTCAGATGTGTTACATTGAACATTCAAACCCCTGCTAGGTCCCCTACACCTGGATTTATAATCAGGGTCTTGGTGTGTCACTTAGAGCTTAGAGTTTGTACATCTCCTAGGATGCAAACACACGCATTCAGTGATGTTGGTGACAATAACCATGCAGAAAACTGTAAAACCACATGATAACTGCAGCTGACTATCTCACCAGCACTCTGCACAGCAAGCCAGGTTTGTTAGAACTGCTCCTAACATTTCAATACTTTAAGCAGTTTCAAGCAGAGCTTGTTCTATTCTTACTTATTTATAACCACCTGTCACAACATTTTTCTTGTCTTCTTCCTCCTACATCAAGTTTGGAACTTTATTCACAAAATGGCACTGGCATAAATACGAAGTTAAAAAATGTTCAAGCTTGAGAAAAGTGACAGATTTAATGCCCTAAATCTACACACAGTCAAAATAAGAAGTGGACGTTATTATCACTTCAGTCATTTGCCAACCCCTAGCATTCTAAGCATACAAATCTATAGCAGATTAGCTGTTCAGAAGTCAAGGAATTAGAGGCTTTTGGGTTTTTTTATTTTTCATTAAATTTGAGTATTCAACAACCAGCTAAAGTAGAAACAAGTTTTTTTCTGTAACTGCGATATCTGGAAATTTACTTTTGTTTCTTGAAATGCAAGTTTGCTAAAATTGCATTAAAAAAATGCTTCTAGTTTCAAAATGTTATACATAATGACAGCAATACATTTGTATGAAAACTGTTTGGCATTTAACATTACTAACAACCTATCTACTATTCCTGCTTATTCCCAATCACATAATGTGGACTGTCTCTTAAGAAATATGGCATATTTGAGGCAAAATGAGCAAACCAATGATGACACCATCTTTTTTTTTTTTTTTTTTTTTTTTTCCAGTCCCAGAAGGTAGAATAACTTTTTTTTTCCCCTCGTCAATAAACTAAAGCTCCAATAAGTGGAAAAACATGATTGCCTAAAATCTAGATGTTACATCTAGATGAACAAGAGTCTTAGTCCTTTTTTTTTTTTTCAGAACTAAAAACTTTTTAAAGACCATATACTGCAAACAATTGTAAGAAGTGGCATTTCTTTCCTGTCCCATCACAGAAATCTGTTATATTACTGATTTCATAGCATGTTATGTTGCAAAGGCACTTATGATTTCTAGCCTGGGCACAAATATGTATATGACATTGAGAAGAAAGGTGTGGGTTGAGAAGACCAACTTATTTTGAAGAACTTAAAAGCCTATTACAGCCAAATTCATGGAATTATTTCCATATGGATCAAACATCCATTTCTTTTAATGTCTGCAGGAAGGATTTACAAATTGAGTAATGTATTGACGGGCTAATTTACTCCTACCCTTGAAGGCTTGTAATAGAGATTCAGAAGAGATCAGATGTAAGTAGCCATACTAAAACAAACACTATCTTAAAATTCCAGCCTTGGAGCACACAAGAGTCTTTCGAGGAGCACACAAGAGTCTTTTGAGTAGTTGGATTAGACCTTTTGCAACGAGAATACATGGCAAGTAGAACAGGATTAAGGGTTTAACTCCTAGAAGTGCATAGGCATCTAAATCTGTAGATTAGCAAGATCACTCAGTGAGATTTTTCAACAGTGCACAGGTGCTCACCTGCCACTGAAGTCGGTGGGCAGTAAAAATATACCACGTGGGTCYGGAAAATCCTGCCAGGTTCAGGAGCTTTTCTGAGAGAGACTAATACCTTTCAATTAATCCAGTCCTACATGTTTGCCAAGCAGAAATAAATTTAAACAAGTTTTGCAGGGCTATGATGATTATGGGCCTTCAGAGGTTTCCCTCTTTAGGTGTTGGATGTTGGTACACAAACACAATAAAGTTATACTAGTTAAATACCAATGTAAGAAAATGGTCAGGATCTATGAAGCCAGAAAGACCCAACAAAACCCAGACTGAGCAGCTAAATAATCTCTAGAAGTAAAAAATATCTCATACATTAGGGAAAACAAAAAACAAACAAAACAAAAACAGACGACAACAACAACAACAACAACAACAAAAAACACCAGGATCAGCTTCTCACTCTTGATCTTTAGTAGTCTTCTCTCCACTCTTCAACAAAACTTTCAGGAGAAACTACTGCTTCCAAATGGCAATTTCACAAGCACCTGTGAGAAAAGTAATTGGAACTAATTATCTGTTGGTTGTCTGGGTCTGAAGAGTTACAGCAATTACTTCAGTCAGGAAGCAAGTTGTGGGATAGTTTACTCTCAGTAAAATGAACTAAGCYAGTCTTTAAACAAAAGTTTTTAAAAGAGACAGAATTTCTCAAAGCACTCTTTTGAAAGGGGAGCTACCAGCAATGAGAATTGAAGGTAATTTTTAGAGAATGCTTAGAAAACATTCTGATTACAACCCTCTATCACAATAAGCTATCTGGATATTTGAAATTATTCTGCCTTCTTTTATCCCTTGCTGAGACCAATTTTAGCAGAATTTTAGCAAGTTTAGCAGAAAAGACTATGGGTTGGAAGAAGTAGTTTTGAGCCCAAAGCTTAAAAAATTCAAAGAAAAACAACATAAAATTCTCTTACAATTTGTAACTGTACAGTCCTCATTCTATAACATAATGATAATTTATAATAATGATAATTCCTCTTTCAATAACACAGAACATTTCCTCTGTGAGGGGAATGGATCCCTAAAGTGTGAGAAGGAGCACGAACAATAGTGAAGCATTACTGGTTTAATCTGTTACTGATGAGTTACATCACCATTAAAATTTATGTTTGCCTGTGCAGCAGAGATGCATTTTAACAAAGTCCTCTGAGGGATTTGCCTGTGGCCAGACTACTGCTGAACAGAAAGAGCAGAGAAGAGCCTGGACTGCTGCCYAATGGGAAAAGGAGGGAATAATATGATTTTTTCAAAAGGAACTCACCAGAGGTTAGCTCCCCATAGTTACACTCCGCTGCAGCTCACATGCTTGGGAAGAAGCAATCCAGGTATTATTTTCCAATTGTACTGGAATGCAAAAAGGAAGGCAGGCCTTCTGTAAGAACAGGTAACTAGTTCAGAACAAAGCAAAGAAGGTTACAGACTACACAGCTATAGTAACAGTCAAAGTAAGTGAATAATGTTAAGAAGCATAAATGCAGTCTTCATACTTAGCAAACGCATTCTTAAATCAATTTAGCTCCAGTTCCAATGTCTGCAGAAAAAGCAGGATGACAACAAGGGAAGAAGACACTCTAAGGAGTAGCCTTGTTAACCTGTAACCAACCTCTTGTTATCCTCCTCTGCAAGTTGTCATTATAAATATTGCTAGATATCTGAGACATTGGACATTTCTCTGCATACCCAATAACAAGTTATTTAACACCCTCAGGTGTGTTAACCTACTGGGACAAGGAAACATAAGAGTCAAATTTTCAGCTGCTGTAAACTTGTGCACCTCCAGTTTACAGGAGTCTTTATTTTAACCACTCCATTCTTCAAGCAAAACATTTAATTTTCTAGAGTGCTTGATAAATACCAAACTCTCAATACATTCCTTTTTATTATATATATTTTTAAACACGATTCTCTGGTAGGTTTTTTTTTTTCGCTTTGGATTATGGGAGTCGAGATAATCCCAGATGCATCAATGGAATATGCTTTTAGCATATAAGATAAGAAGTCTTAGTTTTAGTCTAAGAGATAAGTGATTTTTCGCAGTTATTGCTGACTTAGATGTATGTGTGATTACATACACTTACTAAAGTAATCAAATCATAGAAACATTGTAGTTGTGTATATATATTGAATCAAATATGAAAGTAAACTGTCTGTGAGCATACCAAATTATTCTGTATATGCTTTTAGTAGTAACTTCTTTTTTTTTTTTGTTGTGTCTTTCAGTAAAACACGACAAGGACATTCTTACCATAGAACAATTCCTGAAGAATATAAAATACAGTGAGTGCTGCATACACTGGTTTCTGAGAAACATTAGTTTTAAATTGTGATTGATAGATTCCTTCTRAAAATAAGATGTGCAGTTTGAGGCACAGACCTTCTCAGCAATGAATTATCTTGATAAAAATCAAACAAATATTTAAACTGTATTACTGTAGTTTAGTATTTCTAAGTAGATGAAGAATTACAACAGGCTTTCAGAATATTTTCAGAATATTTTACCTTTTGCAAGTTTTCAAAAGGTAAACTATTTGTTCAATTTATACTGAATTTTTTCAATTTATACTTATTTATGTTCAAACATAATGATAAGGAGGAGAAGAAGAAAAGGCCAATTTTAACAGCTTCTATAAGACCCTTCATAAAATTTGTTTTCCTCTCTGTATGATTTATAATAAAGGCCTTAAGATAAACTGCGGAGAAGAGAATCTAAGATTATGTGCATAAAAAAGACACAGACAAAATACAACTGTACAGAATACATTCTGTACAGTTCTACTCCAAATTCTACTCCAAAGAAATTCATRGACCTGCTTCTATAATCATGGGAAAGAAGCCAAAGAAGATGGAAATACAGAGAACCTTTAAAACAACTGATCTTACTGGGAGGTTAAACTGGTACCTTTTATCCTACTGGTAGCCAGATGTTTCAGAAAATACTCAGAAGTGAAACACTTGTAAGGTACCAGGAAATAAATTGGAGAATCATCCTCTTCTTTCTCTTTCAGAATGTCATCAAGCAATCTATCTAGCCTCCTGTACATGCATGTAGGCTCTCTGTAATACTGCAGCCAGACTGCCTCAGGCTTTTGATCTTGGATCTCACAAAAGCCAAGGAGGGGTGGATTGAGTTAGCAGTTGAAAAGGAGCATCCTCGGGAAGAAATTGAGAACTGAGGCAATTGCTGTAGTGATGATGTGCTCCTGCTGAGCCGGAGCAGTGCGGAGGACCGGAGTGCTGCTGGACACTGCCCTCACTGTCAGACAGCAGGTGAGAGGCTTTTTGAGCATGTGGACATTCAGCAGTCCCTTGAGTACAGCAGAGCTGACTGAAAGGGCTGCACTTTAATGATGGCTGATGTGATGCTTTTACAGATTTAGACCCAACATTTCCATTCAGCAGCAGGATGCGGCAGGCTCAGCGAGGCTGCTCCTGCGCTGCCCTCGGCAATCTAGCTGCAGCAGCAGCCCAAGCACTAGATGCAGAGCACAGTCTTCATGGGATTACAGAGTGCTCCCAGACACCACTCCARCTACTGCTGCAAAGAGGTTAGCACTGCTCCCCCTTGTCAACCACAAATCCCATACCCCTTTCAGAGCCAGCTCTCTCCAAAGAGAAATCCACTGGCAATCCCTGCTCCCCTCCCCAAACCCCTAAACAGAAAAACTGGAGCATGCCTCTTTAAAGGTAGCCTATTTAGGCCACAGATGCTAAATGAATTCAGCAGACAGACGGAGTAATGGAATGTCAGTGTTCCAGTCTGCTGCCTTGAAGCAATAGGGGTTTTTTGTTATTAATTTCTTGATTCATTTTCCAGTGCTGCCTCTGGGCTCCATACTTCAGATGCAGTATTCTTGTCAGTCTCGTTAACCTAATTTGGAAATAATTAAATTTTAAAATATTAAAGGAATTATAAATACTTCCCACTGCACTTTCCCCGCCCCTTCCCTTTTATTCTGCCCCGCCAAAACTGCTGAATTTTGCTTCAGGATTTAAAATGTGTTACTGTAGAATTGGATTTGTTACTGCAGTTTCCTTTGCAAACACTGGAGAATATTTGAAGGAAAAAAAAAAACGAAGATAACTCCAGTTAAAGGTGCCCAGGAGTCTTATGATATGAAGAGCTTTCTACTGCTCTGATATCTTGGAACCTGATCTTCGTTCCATTGAAATGAATGCTAAAATTCATTCTCTTACAACTGAAAGGCTTTCAGTCACATCTGAGTCTCCATAATGCCACATACAAGGGTCCAATTTATCATAACTAGGTTATATTTTTCAATTATGCTCCTTAGTACTTAAAGAAAATAACTGAAACTTAGCCATGTCCCTATATATAGTCCTGCTCTTGAATACTATCATCAGCAAAGCCCTCTGCTGATTGGCTTTTAGGCCTCACAGATGCCAGATACCCTYACAGAAACCCACACTTTGCATTTTATTGCTGGGAAGACTGAGACAGAAAAGTGATGCAACTTGCTAGAGATCAAAGAGCAAAATGAGAGGCAGAACTTAGAACAGATCCCAGAAGCCCTGTCCCACAGACCCTAAAACACACATTGTCACCTTCAAGTATGGCTGCTCCAAGCTGCCCTCGTACTGCAAATCCCTGCTTGATAACTCTTCTTTTTTTTTCAATTTTCATCTTGTGCCAATGGATAAAACCTGAAGATTCTGGATGCTGAATGTCTGGACACAGGCTGATGGACTTCAAAGCTAGGGAGAACAGCATCTCCTGCATACCACAGCCCAGACATTATCAAGTATTTTCTTCTACTTCTTTTTTATTTTTTTTTTTACTTAATAAAGGCATTTATTTAAAAGTCTAAAATAGGACCTGAATTATTCTGATAATGTTTGTCCAGCTCTGAATATCGGCATCTTTTAAAAAATGATTCCTTGGTTCAGGAAGTCACATTGTGGATCTCACAATAGATGCAGGTTTCCTAACTCACGGGCTTGTCCTCTTATGGGTCTAACATGCTGCTGTTATTTTAAGGCTACATCTGCAATAGAGCCTACAAAAGGAAAAATGAAACCACTACCAGCTCATCTGTGCCATCTTTGTCCCACATTTCCATCTTGAAAACATTCTGCTTTGCTTCAGATCTTTCTRGGTCACCAGTGGTTTGTTTCAACAACTGCATTCCAGACCTTGCTGAGACTTTACCAATCATTTTTGTTTATGGCTTCTATTTCCTGTATATTCTTCTCTCTGATTGCACTCCACAGCTCACGCCACAGCTCAGATGGAAAAAAAGAAGCAGGGGAAGTCAGGGGAATCCAGTGCGTCACAGATCTGATGCGTACCACATAAACTGAGGTTAAGCCTATCATGAGAAGGGCTCTCTAGGAACTCAGACTTCCTCTTCTCTGGACGAGTCAGCAGTCAGAGTACAACCTACCCTCAGTTTGCTCAGTAATTACTATGCAAAAAATACTAACACAGTTGGGGAAAAACAAAACAAAAAGTCCTTAGAACATTTAAAGGTGGCAACACTGTATTAATATCTTATACAGAAAGTATAAACAGTTTTCCATTGAACAAATAGGTCTTAGTAGGTCTTAGTAACTCGAGTGTTCCAGACAAGATACTGAAGATACTGATTTCTGAAGAACATTCCTCTATACATTTGTTTACCTTCCAGAATAAAATTATTGTTTTGGGAGGGGATGTAAAGATGTACTATTTAAAGTATTTGAATGTTCAGTTCTCATAGAACAGGTGACTAGGTATGAATCACCAGCTATACTGAATATTTAGGTCRGAAAAAAGCATACAAATAGAAAATACTGTATGCAAAGCTAAGAAAATTATATCTATTTCTCTATACCATATATTTTCATAGAGTACTTTTTTGAATAGTAATTCTTTTTTTTTATTATTTTTCCACCCTCCCTAGTATCAGTATTTTTTTTCACCAGTGTAAATCTTCTGCCTTCTTCAGAATCATTTTATGGCATGATTTAGGAGAGAAMTGAGCCTCAGAGTGGAAGTGAAGAGAGCAGCAACGGCAGTGTCAAAGGAGAGGAATATTACACTGTAGGATACTGCACTTGCAAAGCATGAGCTACTCTGTCTTGAAATAAAGAAACTCCTAGCTAGGAGTCCCTGGTTAGGTTTATGACAGATATATATATATATATGTGTGTGTACTTCATCAGGCAAAGAAAGGATCCATAATGCAGTGAGTTATACTTGGGTTGAAGAAAAAAAGCTTTTAAAGGATAGCAAGTGATGCCATACGTTTTCATTATGGAGCACGCTATGCAAAGATCTGGGTAGTCAGCTCCCACCAACCATCTGGAGAGAGAAGTCACTCAAATTCAAGTGCTGAACCTGCT